GAGCAGAAATCTATATGAATTCTATGAATATATTATATATGTACATATATTGTATATAGTTAAAATTTATTTGTAATATTATTTTAGTTGCAGCCTAACCATAAACCTGCGCATTTTATTGCCAGCGCAGTCAATTTGCGTCAGTCGAATGTCAGGTGCCCAGTTTTCAGCAATAATCAACGCTAATATATACAATATAATGTATTATGGGTATATATGTATGTATGTATAATATAATAATATATGTAATTTTATTTAAATGTACATTTGAAATATAATACAAATTCTAGCAATATTTTTGTAGTTCTTTTTCGCATTTGCAAATGAATTGTGCACAAGTTTGTAGTTTCATATTACGCAATTAACAAAAGTTTGCCAAAGTCAATTGCAAAATGAACGACTGGGCGATGCCCTGTTTTAAATTGAATATTTTACATTTTCAGCTTGAAAAAGTATTTATTTTAAATAATCTACAATGCATATATGCTTGGAAAATACTTGATTTATAAAACAATATTTAATTTATTTTTGCGTATTTATTTTTTCAGCAAGCTGGAATCAATGAAGGTGTTTATAGACTTTGAGAATTAACGCTGTCTATGTTTTCATTTGACACAATACTATTGACTAAGTTTTCTAAGTAGACCCTCAGCATTGGTTAGAGAATGAAATAAAGGGAAAGTTTGTTGGCATCTGCAGCGAACGCTAATTCTGGCATAAATAACGTCACAAATTGGCTTAGCATTGCGCCGAAATTGAAATTTATTTTTAAGCAATAGCCCAGAATTGTTTGGCCAACACTTCAATATAAATTTAGAAATCACACTTTGCCAAAGCTGCGGGGGCATGGGATTCTGGATGATACCGCTTGAAGTAAAATAATTAAGCATTGTTTTACTTTGGCAAGACATGTCCACCTCTCTCTCTCTCTCCCTCTCTGTGGGAGCTGCCGACAGACAAGTCGATGAAATGCATTTTCCTTGACACCCGCCCAGTGCCTCAGTGCCTTGCTCAAACAGCTCACGTTGCGCGAATTTCACTTTCAAATACACATGCGCCCTTATCACTTATCAGCCAGAAGATCAACAGTTGCACAAGGTGTCTTCTGCCCTTTTATTGCCTGTGCATTTGCCGCAGCGCTTAGGGTCTTATCTATCTGCTGCCAGAGTTGCCTGCTCGCCGAATGCAGATGAGGCGCAGTTATTGTAATGGGCTTGTAATAGGCACGGCGGCCCTTTGAGTATACACTGTACAAAAATAGGTGGTTTGTTTGGATTTAAGGGCTTATATGGTCCCTGGGACAGAGTTTCAGGGAGATGGCTATTCAAAGAGTTCTTCTTTCAGAATATCATATGTTCCTTCATTGTCTTAACTTAATCACATCTCTCGAGGTAAATTGTATCCATTCCCATTCGAATTCAGCAAGCTAAAAAACTATTGGGAGTTCATTATCCTACCTTTCATTTCATATTCACTTATTATCGTAAAGTAATAAAATATAATTTTAAAGCTTCCAGAAAGCACGAAATTAATTTTTGGTTATTCAACAGTTACATCGTCTTTCTTCGCTGTGATATTAAGATTTCTGTATAAGATATGAAGGTGCATTAAAAAAGCCAAACGGCGATTGGCAATTAGCAAAGCTAATGGATTTGAGCCAAGTTCTAGCTACTGTTCGCTAACTAATTTCATACACGATTTCGATTGCTGGAGGCAAAAAGCAGCAGCCACAATTTAGATACGGCTCTATATGACGCAGTGACGGCCAGAGACGGACAAAGACTTTAGCGGTAATTCGTCTTATAGACAGACGCCGAATGCTTGCTAGACTGTGCCATCGTAAAATGTTCCTTTGCGCTTTTTACGAGCGCCCCAAAACCGTTGACGTTGATGACGACGTTCAACTTGTACAACAACAACAACAACAACAACAACAACAACAACAATTGCTGCCACATATGTTTATTTGTGCAAAAGGTTTTCCTACATTTTGGCATCGCCTGAGTTTGACACTCATAAAATTAAGAATGAAAATCACCAGAAATATACGTTGATTTGTATACCCAGTAAATATATTGCCAAAGGGGTAGACAAACGTTGGGTTGTACGAGACAGACTAACTATAGAAGAAAAAAGATATGTAATATAAATATAGATAAGTTGACATTTATAGCTTAATTTTACATTAATAAAAATAGAAATAGTAAATAAAAAATATACGTTGATTTCTATGCCCAGTATAAACCTTATCTAAGTGGTATATAAACGTATATAGATAAATTAAGTTGCTTTAGCAAATCTTGATTTTTATAGATAATATAAATTAGAGTACAATTTTAGTTATGTCAAGAATTTATTGTATTTATAATTTAAAATTCATTCAAACTTTAGTCCATCATATCTAGAGTTTCTGCCATTGCTTGCTTAAAGAAAACTAAAATCTTATTTAAAGCAAAAGCTTTTTTTATACTCGAATGATCTGTTTAAATAGTTAATGCATTCATTATAGCGCATCTGCTAGTCGAGCATGCTCTTTATTTATATTTGCTGCTTTTACTACTTTGTGTTTTGTCTTTTTGCTGTTGTTTCTTCTTTTTCGCAGTTTTTTTCTTTCGTTTTTATTGCCGCCCTTTACATTCGCGTTAATTGCTGTGACTGTGATATAAATCAGTGGATATGGCGTGCATTTGTGTCCTCTCAAAGGACACTGCTTCACGCTCTCGATTGATTTGTGGCCGCAGCCCCACTCAATTCAATAGATTGGCTTTTGATCTGCACTTTGGCTGAGCTCTTGCATCATATTATGTAAATTATTTATGCAGAGCTTGTGCCACAATTGATGCACGTGCTAAGGGGCCAGTGGGCGTGCCCAATGGTAGAAAGGTTATAAAATGCAAATAATTGAATGCAATGTGAATAAGATGGTAGTATATAGTAGTATATAGTATACATATGTAAAGTTCTTCAGCAATATGTTGTTGGTATTCTAAAATATGATAAAATAAAATGATATAGATTAATATGTCGAATAAGCTGATAGCTGAGTTATGCTCAATAACTTATACGAATAAGTAGATTGCAACGATTCATGGTTATTGACAATATTTGCGCAACACTTGCTCGATTACTAAATGAAGTTATTGGATTTAAACAGAGTAGGAACATATCAAGCGGGCGCAGTCGACAGCTTAATGCTCGCTAACGTTGCAAAAATTGATAAATGTAATTCGGAATCAGGAATAGCATTCGAGATTAGCTTTATGAATGTGTAGTCCAAACATCACGTAAGGAGTATCATTTGAATTGAAAAGATATTGTAAAGTATTTCCCGATTTATCATACTTTATAAGTCTAATCAAGTTGCGAATCAAGTTTATAAACGAAATGAATATACTCGTCTCACTCAATGTTTAGGCATAACCAAAAACCAGATTGACACGGTTAAAGTCTGGCCATAAAAATGAAATTTATAGAGTCACTTTCATACAATATCATAGCCAATAAGATATGCGAACTGATAGAAGAAAACTCGCCTAATTGTGACTGGAAGTGAGACTGGACTCGAGTTGTGTTTCCTTACCGAAAATGTATTCAAGCATTTGGATTTGTACGCATAAATTTGCAAACGCATTGTTAATAAATCAAAATTAAATAACGGCTAGCTGCAGGGCGCAATTAATATAGGCGAACAATTAAAGATATAATTATGTCGCTTAATAAGTATACTTGGCTCGGGGCTTATCGAACTGTGGTCCCATAAATTAGGCAACGCCTTAGACACTATTTCTAATATGCAAATCACTGCCGCCCCAAAGACCGCGCCTCCAACTATTAAAGAAAAAAGACTTGCAAGCCCGCAAACCTCAATGACCAAACAAGCATAAATTAGAGGCAATGTGCAAGTTTATGCACTTGTTGCCAGGGCAAAGCTGATAGAGAGAGGGAGCGCAGTGAGCGAGAGAGAGAGAGGGTAAGAGAGAGATTGTGAGAGAGCAAATATTGCGTTTGCTGAGCGATTATAATAGAAATCGCTTACACGTGCCGAGTGTCGTAGATAAGACGGGTGACGGGTGACGGATGCAGGTGAGGGTTTCAGTCTACGAGCACGAGAGAGCCGAACCAGACAGCTGATGTGCGTATGTGTGTGTGTGCATCTGTGTGAGTGCGCCGTAATTGTGTCTGTGCAATTGCATTCGACTTTGTCGTTAGCTAACTTGCTATAATTTCTTTATGATCGCCCTGTCGGCATTTGTATTATTAATATATGTGAGTACATACTCCTACATTTTATTTTCGAAATACAATATAATATCATGGCATGTATCTGTGAGAAAAAGCAAATATTGCTGTGATAGACTCTTTGACTGATGTACTAAGTACATGTTAGTGATTGTTATATGCCTTGTTATAAAGATTGATAGATCAATTTCATTTCTGATTGACTATCTAACTGACTTACTTATTGATTGATCGATTGCTCTACTGGTTGACTGCCTTCCTAACTGACTTATAGATTCGTTCGAATATTCTCCTGATTGACAAACTGACTGACCAACTTATTGATTGATCGATTGGTTGATTAAAATGATTGAAACATACATGTCTAAAAACTTACTTTTTTCAGACAAAGTTTAGTTCATGTTGTTAATCAATTAAGAAGTCACGATTACCTTTTTGATTGATTCTCATTTATATGAATATTTATGTATATTAAACGAGCATGTTCCGTTTCATAGCTTGGCATTGGAATATTAATATGATTTATGTAAACTAATTGGCTAATTGAATAACAAATTGAATACACCTGGTTGATTGATTGATACATGTAGTAAGACTTTTCTGTTCTATCAATCATTGACGGACAGATAAATTTATTGCATTTATACGCTAATTATTTTAATTAAGTAAGTGTATATATGAAAATTATATACTGATTGATTGATGTAAAAGTATCTGATTGATTATCATATATGCGTATACAGATGTATATCAATATCAAGTATATAATATGTGCTGCTCTGTTTGATTGATGTATGAACTCATCTGTAAGCTTATGTATATAAAATTGGTTGATTGACTGATTGATTGATTGCTTAACTTGCTGATACGAAACATGCGGTGCTTGATTTATTGATTGACTATTAATTCCAGTGACTGATTGCCATCCAATAAACAGAATTACTTTTTCCATTTCAACTCAACCATAAGTAAACTGAACTTTTCTAGTAAATTACTTTCTAGTTGAGGATAAAAACGATTGCCGTTATAAGAATGCTTTACCTTTTATAGTAAGCGTATCAAGTGCGCTTTCAACAATTATTAGCATAAATATGAGAGTTGCTTTGCAGTTTAAGCTAAATCTATTCTCCCTATTTGGAAACTGGGCAGAAGCAACAATTACTTTGCGAACAACATCAAATTCAATTAAAGCTGAGCACAAATTTCAAGAGCTACTAGTCTTTTAGTGCCAGGACTTGGTTGGGTACAACTTTTCCTAAGCAACGCTCATATCTTGTCAATTTTAATGTCTGTTGTCTAGGGTGTGAAAATGGATTTCCAATTGGTCAGACGTGTCTGTAGCAGTAGCTGGAACTATATATATTTATAGTTGTGTCTGTTGTCTGGAGCTGACCAGCTGGCCGGAACTAAACAGGGCCCAGACGCTGAGCGGAGCTACGTGCTTTATTGTCTTATAATGTGGCGTGTAATTTGTATTGCCAGCGACTCGGGGCCAACAAATTGACATGCTGATAAAAAACGCTCATCAAAAGCCAATGAAAATCAAATACACACATAGTATACACACACACATGTTTGTGTGTGTGTGTGTGTGTGGCACTAAATTGTGCAAGTTTTTCTTGGCAAGACAATTTCAATGCACTTCTCAAATATGGCACCGCACAATATGCTGTGTGAAAATGAAATTCCTTTGAGACAAAAATTTAATTTCTTTTTGTTATATTTATAAAACAATTAAAATTGTTGAGAAAAGCTTTTGGCGAGCGGCCCATTAGCTACGCGTGTGTGGCATATCATAAGTCGTAAATCTCTGCAGATTAAAAAGCAGCTCGGATTGCCGAAAGATATAATTAATTAATTAATATAATAATCTAGATTCGGTATTTGATTTATAAAAGAACTACTTATTCCGTTTATCAATATCAAAAAAGTATAAAGAAACCTGTTGAAAAATATGATAATTATTTTATTATTTCATAAGTTGTTAGTAAATTATTATTCAATGAAATTTTGATTTATTAAATGCTTCAATTAATTCTTGAATAATTGCTGACAATTCAAATTGTTGCAAAAGTTTCAAAGGTTATTTAGTGGGCAGTATTTTAATAATCAATCTGCATGCAAATTAAATTGTTATAAGCTCTATATATTTATATATATTTACATATAATATATATGTTATATCCTAACCATTTCCACATTTTTCTCTCTATTTGTATTTGCATTTTGGCCCCTGGGGGCCGTTCTACAGCCATGTGCGTTTGCTTTTTGTATTCAACGAATGTAAATAAAATTTGCGACACACATATAAGTGTGCTGTGAATGTGTGTGTGTGTGTGTGTGCAAGTGTGTGCTTAAATATATGTATCTATAGATATGGAGAAGCGGTGCAACACAATTCAAGTTCAAGGTGAACAAAGCAAACGCTACACAGTGGGAAAATATGGAGCAAACACAGCAAAATTTTATCAAGAAGAGATATAAAAGAAGTGCATGATAAATTGAATAAAACTAAAATTAAGAATGTACATTTCAATTTCATATAGCTTTTTCAATTATAATAGTTATATATTTTATAAATATTTAATAAATCTATAATATTGTATATGAGTTTAAGAGTTAATTATGCATTTACTTTTTTGCTCTATTTATATCAAAGTCAAAAACACATTTCAAGGCATTGTTCAGTGGAATATTACCCACTGTACCAAATGAATATATTACAAATAATATATTTGACACTAAGTAAGCAAATAGTAAATAGTGTAGTTAAATACTAATATTCATATACAGAAAATTTTCCGAACATTAAAATTTTATTAGGTTTAATAACAGGCTTGGCACCATTTGAACTCACTGATTCTGGTCACCACACTCAAATGATATTACAAGAAATATAGAAAAATATTTATATATTTTGCATCTTGAAGAAACTTTTGATTTGAATTTTGAATAAAAATTAGACTCTGGCAACCACTGTAGTCCTATCACAATATCAATATATCTATAAAAAGACGTTGACTTCATAATGTGCATAATAATAACGTGATGATTATGATGTAAGAGCTGTCAGTGTAGGAATTGCTTATATTATGCAATAATATATGTTCTATATACATAAGGCAGAACTGTACTATATGTATGTAGGTTGTCCTCCTTTGGACTGTGCGTTGTCGATATCCGGGTTCGATAGCCGTTGCGAAGGTCAGGCTGACAATGTTACGGTCATATGAATAGTTTTGCATGCTCAATTAGATATATGGCCACTTGTTGTGTGTTCGTATACCAAATGTTTAATCATATCAAATTCAATTCAATCAGAGAAAACTGTACAAAGTTTATGTTAATATGAAGGAAAGTGGCATAAATTTGCAAAGCATATTAGCCAAATGCAGCACACGCGCCAATTATTTTAATGCACTCGCATTTTAAGTATGATTATGAAAGGAAAAAAGAATTCATTTGCTATAGATAGTCACTATATGTGTTGAGATCATAGGGTATGACTGTGTGGCATGTCGGAAAAACTATTTCTGTAGCTCATACAAAAATAAAATATTAAAAGTATTAAATAGTTCAAATATGTATATAAAACAAATTACAAATTCGAACATTGTTTCAGTCCTCAACTAAAATCACTTAAATATTTGAAAAATATATATGGGAAACATATAAAAATTAAATGTAATCTCGGAGTTTTGAACAACTTTTGTGCAATAAAGCTACCTGGAGAGTCGACTGTAGGGGCTTGGATTATAAAACTCAAGCATAAAACCTAAAAGGAAGCGCTACAAAATTAAAACGGAACCCCATTTGGCATGGGGCAATCGTGGCAAAGCCACAAGCAAAGCTAATTAAATTACGTTTTGTTCAGCCGTGAGGGTCCCAGGATCTGCTTCTGCTCATCTGCGATGTAGAGTTCGTGGCAGTAGAGTCGAGTCGCCTTTTCAGCTGCGCATTTCACAAAGTTACGCGCTGTAAAAATCAACTTAAAAAGACTTCACGTTGTTTTATGTTTTGACAGCACAACACGCGAAAAGCAGAAGAAACAAAATAACAACAGCAACAACAACAAAGTTGTAAATTATAATTTTATGTTTGAAATCTCAAACCAATAATGTGGTTGGAAAAAAGAGAGAGAAGAGGAAGGCGAAATAAGGGCCTAGCCGTAGAGGCTTCCTTCCATCTAGCACCTAGCTTAAGAGATTGCCAATCCTTGCACTCAACCATAAAGCGACCAACGACCTTTGACATGGCATAAAAAAAAACAAGTTTTGTTTTTTATTAAATGATACTTAGAAATGCGCCAAAGTTGATTACTAATAAGAATAGCTACAGGCATACAACGCTAACATGCACGTTTCGTAGGCTTAAGGAAATTTGCTAAAGTTGTAAAACTTTTAAGTCTTTTCTTAATATCTAGAAGACTTGAGCAGTGTAGATTTTTTATTTTATTTTTTTTTTTTTGCGTAGCCTTTAGGTTTCACTATAGCGAGACTTTGCTGTCCACAGCGCTAATAATGTCATAAAATAAAAAATATATATATAAGAATTGTATAAGATTATACTCAACATTTAAATAGCATGTAAATTTTGATAAGGTATTACCGACTGTGCAATACCCTGTATACAGTTTTCTTTATATAGCAAGCAAATTGATTCTGAGTGAAGAGAGAATTTTTATGATACTCAAGTGTTTATAATATATTGAGTATGGGGGAAGGATAAGAGTATTTCGAAAATGAAATTTAAGATTCTGGATTCAAATCGAAAAGTCTTCAAAATACATACTTTAAATTTAAATCAATGCTACTAAGTAATATGCCTCTTAGATGTCAAGAACTAAGCTCAGAGACAACTGTTTGATATGCAGCAAATACATATGCCCGTTTTTCGCTTTCAGTGGAGCGTATATAAAAGCAATACTCAATTCAACAAAAATCATAAAACGCAGCTCAACTCGAGTCCGGGTTAACCCAGCTAAACTCAACTCAACTCAACTCTCAACGCAACTCAACTCAGCTGAGCTCCGCGGAGCTCATTAAATGCGTCTGCGCAACGTAATTTGCCTTTGAGGCGCGCACGTTCGCAACGCTGTGACTGCGATTCGAGCTTCCTTCATGGGCATGTTTTCTCGTATTGCTGCTAGTCGTTACACACCATATAATCTCAGACATACACGCACACACACACTCACGCACACATACACAATTTATGACTCGACGCGACATTTACAACTTTGATGCAAAGCAAAGGCATCTGAGAGAGTCTGAAAAACTCTCTCGACCCAACTGCGGCCATCGAAAAATGTGCGCTTGTTCGTATTTTAAAAATGTTGGAAAATAAATTAAAAATGCGCTTAAAAATATTCGAGCAGCATTCGCAGAGTCGTTGGCCACTTTTAATGGGCATTTCGGCTGTGAGCATTTCGGTGTGTGGGCAGGCTCCGATTCTTGGCAAATAGCGAATTGTGCGCAATTTTAATGATGGCAACAAAAACAAATAAATTGTTTAAGTAGTTGCTGTTTAATAGCCATGTCCATGTTCATTCTGTGCGAATGCCAGCGCTTTTCTTAATATATGTACTCGTGTATAAAAAAGCAGCGCAATCATTACAATGCGATTCCTGCAGATGTTGTCGTTGAACAACACTGACAATCCCTCAAACAAAGTGCGAAAATAACTGAAACAAAATCTGTTTATGGGCTCTATTTGTTGTAGTAGAAAGTATACATATATAAATCCATAAAGATGTAGTTAAGGCAGCTGCA